TTTTTTTTAATGTCACTGTCATTTCATGGGGATGAGCCAACATTTAAAGTAATTTGAATCTAGTGTTCTGAGAGTCTCAGTCTCTTTTGGTGGAGAAGGGGAAAGGGGAGAGTAAAGGAGTGAAGAGGTAAATGAAGCAAAGGAGTAAGAATACTGCTAGTAAAAGGCAAGACGTTAATTTTGTTCCTCATTGCATCACACACAAATTAGGGACTGGCTTTTCCCCGATGTCTTATTGAGCACTGAGTTGCAGAAGAAGAGGCGACAGCCCATTTCTCACTGAGCTTGTGACAGTACGTGGCATTTTATAGACACAAATAATTTACCCTGATCAAACACTCTAGCAGCAGGCTGTAATTCTCCTGTTTTGAGAGACAAGAAAACAGGAGTTCAAAGAGGATGTATAACTTGACAAAAGTCAGAGGACCAGTAAACTAAAGAGGATGAATTCAAACTCAGATCTAAATGCAGAGTCTGCTCTTCTTTCTCTCAAGACTGGAAAATCCTTAACACACAGGCTCCCCAGCTCCCCTGCAGTGTTCCTGGCACCAAGCATTTCCCATGGCGATGGTCTCTAGTTCTCACAGACACAGCGCTCTGTGCAGCCAATGAACTTAATCGGACCTTGTTCATCTACCTGCCATGCCCAACAGGCTTCACCATAAAAGCAGGAAAGCTGGCTTTCAAGTGCATACAATGCCACCCCTGGTCTAACCTGGGCTTTTCTGCAGCTTCTCCAGCCTCAAGGTAGCCATGAAACTGCTCTCAGTTTGTACATGAGCCACACTACCTCTCTCCATCTGTCTCCCCACCTATACTACTTAGCTATGACCATTTTGAGAATCTTGGAAACAAATTTTTAAAAACACAAAGAAAGGATTCTGGAACAAGTACTTATTATTTACAATTTTAAATGACAAGTTACAAAGTGAGCATTTACAAGCCAAATCTTCTTTTCTAAATGTCAGTTTTAAGGATTTAAAAATATAATGGCAAAAAGTTCTCACTTACAAAATTAACAAAATCATAAACAATAATCTAGAATAAATTCAAAACAGTGTCCATGTTCTAAACAGAGAAACTACAGGACTGTACTGAGGGGTAAAGTAAGAGGTGTGAATGTAGAGAGATCAACATATTGCATGGAGGAAAGCAGTTT